CCCAGCCAAATACTTTCCCTTGTGATGGATGTGGTTTATGGAGGACACTATAGAATATGCCCTCAGGGTCAGATGCTCAGTACCCCATCTTTTTTTTTTTTTTTTTTTTTTTTTTTGAGACAGAGTCTCGCTCTGTGGCCCAGGTTGGAATGCAGTAGTGCGATCTTGGCACACTGCAACCTCCACCTCCTGGGTTCCAGCAATTCTTCTGCCTCAGCCTCCCAAGTAGCTGGGATTTCAGGCACCTGCCACCATGCCCAGTTAATTTTTTGTATTTTTAGTAGACATGGGGTTTCACCACTTGACCAGGCTGGTCTCAAACTCCTGACCTCAGGTGATCTGCCCGCCTCAGCCTCCCAAAGTGCTGGGATTACAGGCATGAGCCACTCAGCCCGGCCAGTACCCCATCTTTCTGATCCAAGGTTTATCTAGCGAAATAGAGTGACATCTGGAGATGTCACGCTAATTAAAAAAAAAAAAAAAAAAACAAGAAGTATTGCCAACCACAGAAGTCCCTATCCATGGCTAAGATTCATATTTTATTGTTACCAACTTGACCCAGTTGATCTACTTCATACCACACTAGATTGTATTCCCCAGTATCTAAAATTTAAAACATATAGAACATTTGAAATAATTGTACAGTGGAGGTCCATACACCCACCACCTTGAGTTTTCTATTCATCCATTAATCCGTTTTGATTGTAGCCATTGTTGCTCTTCAATGCTAAAAATTTCAGCATGCATTTCATTAGCTATAGTTTAATATTTTACAGTTCTTTTTTAAGGTAAAATTCACCTATAGTGAAGTGTACAAAGCTCAGTGCCATTCACCAAGTTCTGACAAATGCAGACATCCATTTAACTCACATCCCTATCAATATATAGATTAAAAATTTTAAAGAATAACAAAATACAGAATATTCCCATCACCCCAGAACATTTCTTCATGTCCCTACCTAGTACATCCTAGCACCAATACCATTCTTGACACAACCACTCCTTTGCTTTTATCCCCACTATACACTAGTTTTGCTTACTGCAGAATTTCTTATCAATGGAATCAAGCGGTAGGTAACTCAGCAAGTTTGTGAGATTCCTCCGTGCTGTTGAATGCCTACGTTTAATTTTATTACGTTTTATTGCTGAATAGTATTCCATTATATAAGTATACTTAATTTGCTTACTCAGTCTTCTCTAGATGGGCATGAGGACTGTCTAGTTTTGGCTATTATGAATAAAGCTGCTATAAACATTCTCATATGGGTCTTTTTTTTTCTTTTTTGACTTATAGGTTACTGCCTAAGAATGTAACTGCTAGATTCTCAGTGCATGTTTAGTTTTATAAAAAAAACTTCTACACCTTTTCCCAAAGTGGTTGTTCCATTTTACACTCCCACCAAGAATGTATTCTCCACATCCTCACCAATACTTTGTGCAAATTTTTCATTTTAGCCATGCTGGGGGCTGTGCAGTGGAGGCTCTGGTTGGAGCTGGCAGAGACTCACATTTCTATTATTGCCCCCATTAGCTCCAGTCCATCAGAGTAAGGAGCCCTCTCGCCCAAGGATTTTACCTCAGAAGGGGAGGGGGTTTCTATCTCAGTGGTTTATTTCTTCTAAGATCCCAACAGAGGAGGAGAACTTCATCTACTGTTTGTTCAGTTCCTCTGTCTTACTTAGGAGGAAAAGTTTTAAAAAATATCAGATTATCTAACTGAGTCAGGTTGGTTAACTCAAAGTTGTCTTTTGTTTTAGGATATATTTTGAGGCAAAAAGATTCTCACTTCTAAATCCTAGCCACTGTCTCTCTTTCCAGCAACATGTAAAACCTTAACAATATTCAAGAGAAGAAAAGTTCCCAGTACTCAGGCTCAACCTATTTTCCTTCACACTTCCCTAAGAACCATTCCTTACGTGATCATGACCACCCTATCGGGCAGGATTGAAGTCACGGAGGAGGTAACTGCACCTGAACTGAAGCCTCAACCACAGGATGTCATGGCCCTCAGTGGTACAAGCTCCCCTGGCTGGCGGTGACCCTGTGGCGGACTCTGCAGCAGGGCCCGGGCTGCCGCCGGCTCTCCCTCTGCTGTGGGGAGCGGTGAACTCGGCATGCAGCCTCCGCCTTTCCCCACTCACAGCTCCATTCCTCTCCTGGCTCCTGTCCTCTCTTCTTTTCCCCCTCTTCCTTCCAACTCTTCTCAGTTACCTCATAAAACTCATGTCCCCTCATTCTTTCTCTCTCTTGTTCTCTTCCATATGGGAACTAAAAATGTATCCCAAGCTTGCCATGTAACTGTCAAAGTAGTGTGAGTGCCATAATGAAGCGAGACATAATGAAAAACCAAGACCATCGACATCTAAAGCCCTTGAAAATTCCAAGAGGTCCCTTTCAGAAGCTCCACAAAGGAACCTTCTACTTTCTCATCCCTTCCTAATTAAACTGGCTTTTCCTCAAGTACCAGCATTCTACAGAGACAAAAAACTTTTGTCTTCACTATTGGGTTTCTATTTTAATTCCTAGCATCACAGCAGCATTGTTTTCTATTCCATGGGTTGCAAAGATACAACATGGCAGTTACATTTTAAGTTTTATTGCAACACTATGCCTATGGCAAATCATGTACTAAATGCCAAACAGTCTTAAACTTCTGGAATAAAATCAATTTCTAAATTAGGACTTGCCTTTTTTTCCCTATTTGGTTTTAAAAATTTGTTACAAGAATTTCATCTGTAGCATATTTCTATAGATATTTATTAAGATATAATAGTTCCATCCTCAATATCACAGTTTTGCAAGTATTACAGGTATGTAAACTTATAAAGTACATACTATACCAACTCCCTTTTTATAGATGAGGAAACTGAGATTCAGAACAGTTTCATAACTCACAATTTTTGTTTGTTTGTTTTTTGTTTTTTTTGAGACAGAGTCTCACTCTGTCACCCAGGCTGGAGTGCAGTGGTGCAATCTTGGCTCACTGCAACCTCCACCTCCTGGGTTCAAGTGATTCTCTGGCCTCAGCCTCTCAAGTAGCTGGGATTACAGGCGTGCACCACCAAGCTCGGCTAATTTTTGTTATTTTCTGTAGAGATGCGGTTTCGACATGTTGGCCAGGCTGGTCTCGAACCCCTGACCTGAGGTGATCCATTCACCTCAGCCTCCCAAAGTGCTGGGGTTACAGGCATTGAGCCACCACACCCAGGCAGTAACTCACAGCTATTACAATAAGTGGCAGAGCCTGAATTCACACCTTGGTTTGTTGGCCTCCAGCTGGTACTTTCTCAAGCACCATGCTGTACCTCTCCTCTGTATTGCCTAGTACCACCCAATATACAAAATAAAGCTTCACAGCATGGACTTGAATAGGCCATGATTGTGTGATCCACAACCCCATCATTCTCTGCATCTCTACTATGTTCCTAAAAAATTGTTCAGACTTTATCAGATCTCAGAAGGACAGGGAAAGAGGTTAGCAAAAGTTCAGAAGGCAAAGTAGTAAATCCAGACAGATCTCTAGTAAATTCAGAGCTATTCTGGAAAACAAATTGGTATCTAGTAAAAAGAATCTAGCTATGCAACTAATAATAAGCATCTATTATGCATTCTAAATAGCCCTCACGTGGCTCTGAGTGTCAACACAGAATATGGCTGATAAACCCAGTCTATTCTGTTATCCAAAGTGCTGGGGCATTCCTTACTAATTTGCCCTAATGGTTTTCACACAAGTTCTAACAAGACACCCCCATTCCACAGAGCTTTTGTGGGCTGCGGCACAGTTAAGGGCAAAAAAAGAGTGAGAGCCCAGATTCAGCTGTAGGAGACAACTCTTTTACAGTGGCACTCCTAGTTCTTTACCTGCTGCTGACACATGAGGCCTGAGTCCACTGACTCTTTCAGCCTGCCACAAATATACGGATTTCATCCTTCTTTCAATAACAGTTTGGTGCCCATGGTGGCAGGCTCCCTAGCCCTCCACTCTACTCCCTTCTAGTTTACCTTCCTGACTTGAAAGACTAGAAATTCAACAACATTTTCAGACTCTCTTGCAGCTAGCATTCCATATCCAAATTAAGTCCTCCAATTAGGTGTGTTTGCATGAGGTCCAGAAGGCAGAAGCAAAAGAGAAACCCCCTTTCAAGCTTTTTCGCTGAAAAACAAGATCATAAAAAGGTAAGCTAACTTTTTAACAGTATGCTTTTAATGTTCAGTCTCTGACTTCCTAGATGGTGAGAGGCTGTTGAGGCAACTGAAAACAGCAGCTTTTTGAGTGTGGCTTTCTGAACTTTGGACTGCAGCTCTGGGGATATACCTTGAACCCCTCTTTCCAGTGACAATCTCAAAAGTGGCAGTTCCCTGGAAAGCCAGTCCTGCACTGCCGCAGATCTGCCTCCTGTACTTCCTTTCTCTGTCACCACCATAACCATTAACATTTCTTGTGCATTCACTATGTGGTAGGCACTGTACTAAATGCTTTAAATAAATCATTTCATTTAAACTCCAAAACAACTCCATCAGGAAGGTACTATTAATATCTTTTTTTGTCAGATGAGTTAGCTGTGTTCTGAAAAGGGATAAATTGCACAGGATCAGATCAAAGCTAGTGGTTAAGTAGTAGGTAAAGCTAGAATTCAATCCCAGATCTGCCCTACTGCAAAGCCAGAGCTCTTTTTCTTTAAAGTTGAGGGTCTAAGACATATTAGCAGATTTTAATTGCCCATACACATTATGTTGCTGAAAATGCTGTTCATTCTTTTCCTTTAAACAATATAGACACACAGGCCAGTCTATGTCATGTCCAGATACATCTAGATAGCAAAGAAGTCTAATTAAATAGAAAGCCATTTAAAAATACAAAGGTATCTCTTTGTGAAAGCTTGCCTAAGTCATAATAAGATCATTTTTACGGTAAAAATTTAAGAACTAAGATGAAAGCAGACAGGTCTTTCCATTTGTCTCTGGAAGAACCAGAGCTGGGAGAAGAGACTCACACTTACCAGGTGCTCGGTTAACAGCAAGGTTTCGGAAATGGCTGCCTTTGATCATTTCCACAGATAATCGCCCCGTTGTGGCATTGTACGAGAGCCCCACCAACAGCTCTGGCGCCCCTCCATGAGACAGCGACTGCGTGGATGAAGTACTATCACTGTGAGAAACCGCAGATGGGCTGAGCGGAGACCCTCCACTCTGGAGGGGAAGAACAACAAAGAATCCATTGGCCCACGCTGCACTACTCTCTTTTAGAGAAAGCCGATATTATGTTTGGTGAAATTGTGACCCAATCCCCAATGACTGCCAAAGATGACTAAGGGCGCACTCGGTGTGAATTACAATGGCCCCGGGAGCACAGTCGTGGATGAGATCCCTGCATTAGGAACTGACATGTTTGCTTCAAGAGCTGTCTCCATTCAATATTTCCTCTCTAAAGACAAAACGGACAAAGACGTTATTACTAGTGTAAATCAAACCCTCTAAGATACAAGGAGAGTTAATAATACATTCAATATAGACTCAAATTCCCTCCTGTGTAATCTGTGCTTGGATGTTTCTAAGGAACCCCTTCACTCCAGGCCTGAGGTTTGTTTCTGCTCTCTGCAGCTCCTTGATGAATATGGCAATACAGGAGGTGTTGTGTCTTAACTGTAAAAGAAACGACCACTGGACATCTACCCCCACATAGAACATTTGGCTCCTAGTACTGCTTAAGGTTGTTAAATACATGCCAGGTGCCAAATTTTGCCTTTTAAAGAAATAACTTACATTACAAATGAGCACTTTTACAACTGTTTGAGAAAAAAGCCAACACATGGGTTGTGGGTCTCAGCGACCTGGCAGGCACCAAGTGAGCCCAGGAGAACTTGTGCTTTCTGTCATGTTTATTCATGGGCACGCTTCTCCTGAGCACCTACCCTTCCCCACCAGGCACGGGCACATCAGGAGGAGGAGCGCAAAACTGAGCAGGACACTGGTTGTCACTCAAGGCACGGGAGTAGCAATCAGCCCTGTAGGGGCAGGCAATCCTGTCCCCCTGAAACTCCATCTCTTCCACCAGAAACAAGGGCATTCGATTTGGCTTAACCCTTTCTTCTCAATGTCTAAAATCGTTTCTTCAAACTCCTGACCAGAAACTCAATAATCAGAACCAATAAAAGGAATCAAATATTCTGCCCATCTGCAGGAAAATATCCTGTTTACCAAACCACAGACATCTCGGCAGAGTGCCACCCCCCGCCCCGCCGCCCCGGAGGCTTTATGGAACACAATTTGTAAACGGTAGGGCTAGGTGGTTGTGATAGATGCCTTACAGACCCTACTGTCTAGAAGATAAGAATTCAACAATGAAATATTTGCTTACTTTTCAGTGAGACTCACTCCCACTCCGGTGCTTCTATAAAAGCTTCCCGCTGTGGCACCTGTCACTCACTGCTTGCCTCTCCCATCAAATTCTGAATCCGTATAAATCTCTCAGTCCCTGGTGCATAGCCTAATGTCTGGCACATAACTATGCTCAACAAAATGAAAGATTTTCACCTGCAAAGTTCTTTTACACTAGCTCATTTTCCCCATTCAACTCTGTGCCCCCAGCACACAGCATAGGGCCTAGCAAGCAGAAATATGGGTGTGATCATCCCCATTCCCCAGCTCTATCATGCAGGATCCCTCCTGATCTCCTGTGCATTCTGTTCTCCATCACTTCAGATGTGCTTTACTCAGATATTAAGAAAAAAGGGAGATCTGAGCAGAGATGAGACATCATCTGGCTTATACTTTAAAAGGCTCATTCTGGCTCCCACGTCCAGAAGAGTCTGTAGAGGCAAAAGCAGAAGTGGAAAGACCACCACTGAGCAGCTATTTCAGTAATCCAGCAGAGAGCCAGGTTCTGGTTGTACTTGAAGATAGAGCCCATAGGATTTCAGGTGGAAAACAGAAAAGTCACAGATGATGTCTGAGATTTTTGAACCCAGCAATTGGAAGAATGAAACTGCCTTTAGGTAACATGGGGAAGACTGCAGGTGGAATAGATTTAGGGAGGCAAAAATCAGGATTTCAAGCCTGAAGATGTTAATTTTGAGACATCATTGGACATTTAAGTAGATGAACCTGCCACCACTACAGTCCAGCCTTTCTGTCTCCTTTGTTCTTCTTCAGATATGACAAGTTTCCTCCCTCCCCCGGCCACCCCACATCCTGACTGCTTGCTTGTGCTGTTCTCTCTGTCTGGAACTCTCATCCTCCTCACGTCACCAGCCTCTCTCTCTCGATGCTGTGAGTTCTGGTGTTTCATCACCACCTCAGAGAAACTTTCTCTGATCCTCTAAACAAGAGCAGCCTATCACTCTCTCTCCTTGCCTACTTGGCCACCACTAGACTGCAAGCTCTCCAAGTGCAGAGGCATCGCCTGCTTAGTTCTTTCCTGCATCCACTTTGCCTGTACCATAATTGACAGTAAACATCTCTGAATGAATGACTGATTGACCCCAAAGCCTAGAGAGCTCCCTGATCTGTTAACATGGTTTTGTAAAAGGAGATGGGCATACCACATGACATATAACCCACAGCAGTAGTGAGCTGCCCATCCTGTAGACATGTAAATTGTGACACCCTTCCTTGAAACTCTGGGGCAAGCAGGGAAATGGGGTATGAGGGAAGACTGTACTAATACAAATGAAAGGTTTCGGAGGCAGCTGAAGTTCTGGGCTGCTATCTCAGTCTGCCCCAGCATACCAGTGAAGAACCTTGTCCAGAAAGTCCCATCTCTGAGATTCATCATGATGCAGATTGGGGGTAGGAGGAGTAGGATCAGTTATCCACAAACCAGAAGGCCAAGCCACCTTCCCTGTTTTTCTCCATGCCCTCTACCACACTGCTACTATCTTGTCCTAAAATGGACAGGGCATTTATCCATCAGGTTATCAGGAAGACAGGCATGAAAGACCCATTGTACCATGAAGTGCAAATCATGGCTTACAAGGGTGAGGAGAGCCAAATGGAAAATTAAATTCAAGTCTTTGAATTCACAGACTGAATGTATTAAATCAAGGGCTAACAATCCCAGGTCTTCGAACACACCACGTCATTAGCAGCACCATTGAACATACTCACACTTATATTACTTCTTGGCTCCAGAACCAGAGTCACTTTCATTTCCCCTTCTGGGTGCAGGTGGCTGAGATAGAATAGTTTCTCTCCCATCATTCTCTCTCGGGTCATCTTCCGGGCAGCGTACAGGCGGAAGCGGACAGCACAGGCAGCCACGTCTCTGGGCTCCAGCTTGGCGAAGGTGACCTTCTCCTTGAAGACGGGGTTGGGCCCTCTCTGTATGTTCGTCCTGCCCCTCTGTTTCTTACCAGGCAGCAGCACTACATGAACTTGCCAGGAGTTGACACCACTTCGGTCCTTATCTGGGAGGCCCTGTGCCCTCACAATGGTCACTGTGAGCTTCTGGCTGGAGGCTCTATATTCAAAGATGACATCTAGGTCACCACACTTTGAGATGGGCTCTGAGACTCCGGATGGCACCTGCAAATTGGTCCTGTCCTGTTCCTGTTGCAGGCAGAGGAAACAATTAGAAACGGAAATGATGAGACCCAATTACATTTTGGCCAGTTGGTGCTCCTTTGTGCTCCTTCAGAATCCCTCCTTTCTAACTGCCAGTGTATTCCCTCTATATCAGACAGGTCTATTTACTGGTCTGTCGCTGCATTAAACTGTGAATTCTTTGACGGCACAGTGCCTAGCATATGGCGCGCCTTCGTGAATGTTTTTGGAATGGATAACTAAAGCTTTTATATTTTGCAAAGTGTTTTCATATACACTGCCTCTCAAAAAGCACAATTGCCCAGGATCATTGAAACCAACTGAGATGCTAAATCTAAAATTAAGTCAACAGGCAATTGTCCATAGGAAACTTTTCCTTGTGTCCCTAAATACAGATGGTTGAGCCTGAGCCTGTTCTCCACAGGCAAGAGTTTTCCACAGACAAGAATTTTGATGGGAGTCCCAGGAAGGTGATGCTTCAGTATATTTTCAATCTACGTGAGAGAAAAGGTTTAGGGCTGAGCTTCTCAAACTTTAATGTAGACCTAAATCATCTGAGGATTCTGACTCAGTAGGTCTGGAGTGGAGCTTGAGATTCTGCCATTTCTGGGACGTGTGCAAGGGATGTTGATGCTACTAGCCTCACCTCACACTTTGAGCAGCAAGGGTTTAGGAGGACACCTCCACAGCCCTTTAGTAAACAGCAACACTGAGCCTGGAGCCAGAATATCTAAATTGAAATCATAACTCTAGCACTGACTATCTTTTTTACCCTGGCCAAATAGACCAGCCTCTCTGTATTCAAGCTTAAAAACGCACATTAATGTGCCTGCTTGCTGGTGTGTTGTTGTGAGGTTTTCATTGATGTGAAAATACCTGGCTCAGGCCAGACTGCATCAATATCTATTCCCACCACTGAACTGGTGCTACCTATTCTCAAACACACATCTCTCTTTATGGAATGTCACCCTTGGACAGCAATTTACTTGCAGCCACTCAGATCTGATGACCTTACTGGGAAAACTGAGCTGAACTGCATTTATTATAATGAACCACCCCACTAACAAATTATAAATAATGTCAAAAATAATTCTGTTTTCCTCTGAAGGCATGATCCTTACCTGTAACTCAACTTTGAACTGATTCTTATTGCAAACCAGTTCTTATTTATGCAATTGAACACCAGACCTTGCTAATTTAAAGATCTCGTTTCAAATTATAATAAAATGCCTTAAAATATGCATCCATCAGTGAAACTTTCCCACATAGTCTGAGTGAAAGTTCATGGTTCTCTGGGTTCATATTTCCCTAGGAAGCCCAGGCCTACTATTTACTAGCTATATGACACTGGGCAAGTTACTTAATCCTTTCCATGTTCTATTTTCCTCAACTGTAAAATGAAGATGGTGCCTTCTGTGTAGGGATGTTGTAAAAGGTAGAGGACTTGACAGATAGTAGACATCTAATAAATACCCTTTTCTTTTAAGATTCAAATTAGCCTACAAGAAAATTTAGATTTCTTGTAAAATAAGCGAAGCTTCTTATATCCTTTCCTCTGAGCATGCAATCATGCGTGAGTGTTTCTATTCAGAGGTACTTAGTTTCAAGTGATAAAAGTGGTTGCTATAGAGACTTTTGAATACAACTGACTGGTGTATATATATTAGAAGCAAGTCTCCAAGGATTTAGGCCAACTCAAAAATCAAGTCAGAATCTTCTCTCAAACTCCCTTGTCTCTTCCTAAAACTCCCATCTATTTTAGCCTACTCTTGTTCATCTCTGTATTGCATTTCTGACCATAAGTAATAATAGCTAACATCTACTATGCTGTTTCTTATGCCAAATACCATATCAAATCCTTTATAGGCTACAAAAACTGGCTCTTAAACACTTCAGATCTTCTTGGCCTTACCTCATGTTCCATCTTCCCCTAAGGCACAGCCTATCTGGGCTCTAAGTAGTTTCAGTCTGGAACAATTCAATAAAGTCTTACCTTCTACCCACACAATATAATTCTCATCTCTTATCATTGGTCCTTCTGTTGACCACCAAGGCTTAGACAGCTGCAGAATCCTGCTTGATACTAATATATGTAAAGTCTACTTTTTGCTCCGTAGTCAGTTGTCCTATCAGTTCACACAGCTTCTTGGAGTGTGGACACACAAGATCAAGCAATTAGCCATACTGCGTGGTGGCCAATTCAACTGTGTATTCTCATACTTGATCTCCCTTTTTCCCTGCCTTACTTCCCTTGTCTCGCACTTTTGTTCCCTGGGGTTGCATTCCCAAAGTAGGGAACAAAGCCTTTACTTAGGCTCTGTTTTTTTTGAGGAACCCAACTAAGAAACATTATCTTTTTGAATATTTACATCAATGTAATGAGGTAGGTATTTTAATATCTTCATTTTATGAAGGAAGAAACTAAAGCTTAGAAAGACTAAATAACACGCTCTTTCCCCACAAGCCCAGATCATATTCACAGACAAGATTATCCAGGACTCATTCCCTGGCAGTTTGAGTCCCGGGCCTGCCTTAACTTGTATTCAATACTCAAAATCCCAAAATCCCAAACCTTATTTTGAACCATATGGTCTCCTTTCTTCTTCCCCAAACCTTCAGGCATAACAATTTTTATTTACACACACACACACACACACACACACACACACATATATATATAGAGAGAGAGAGGGAGAGAGAGAAAGCATGCACGAGAGAGAGAGAGCACAAGATGAAGAGGGGAGAAGACGGAAGGTGGGGGTTGGAATCACACTGTCTGTGGTTTTTACATCCTTTGAGGCCCCTGCTCTTAATGTTAGTTAATAGCTCTTAGTTTTTTCAACTTCAATGCCAAGGTAAAAATATTTTAGTGAATGAGGAACTCTCTCCACTTACGTATCAGGCTATCTCTTCAGATAAATGCTCACTTCCCCTGCAGGTTTCTAGGAGAGTCCTGAGTAGAGCTCCTGACTGTCCTAAGAATGCCTCTGAATAAGGCACAGATCCTGCCAATGGCTGGGCTTTGGATAGGCCAATTCAAGCTGTGGCCCATAAAAACTGGGCTTTGTGGCCCCTCCCTGGGTTGATTTGAGAAAAAGATTTGTGAATGTTGGTATTTTCATAGCAATTAATTATTTCAATACACTTTACCTCTCACTAGGCAACTGAAGGAGCTCCTCATGTGGGTACTGTTAACACCACTAATCCATCTGACCTTCCTGCAAGGTAAAAATCTCTTCATTCTTATCCCCATTTGGCAGATTTTAATTAACTTCTCAAGGCCAACCAATTAATCAGTGGAAAGCAGAGATGAAAAGTGGGACACCTGTCTCCCTGTGTGCTCAAAATCACCAGCCACACTCCCATTGTCTTTCCTGCCAAGCCCTGGGTCCGCAGGCAAAAGCCAACGGCCTTTGCCAGCAGAGAAAAGCGGAGCTCAAAAATCCATCAGCCTAACAAGTAGTCACACTGCACGACCGGTTTCCTTCTGAGACAAAATAAACGATTCCTTGAGCTCTAATATCCTGGGCTTTTCCTTAAGATGAGAATACTTGTGTCAAATTGTCAAAACCCATGTATGTTTAAAGATTTTCTGTCAAATTGAAAGCCTTTCTGTTTTAGTAAGATAGTGTTGATGTCATCTGTGTGGCCTAAAGCAAACAGGCCTACAATATGTTCCTGATGCCAGATACACAGGGGACGACAGAGTTCTCAATACAGCTAAGAGGCAAATAAATCAATTCTTAAAAGGCAAGCTAAGCCTGCAAAGCAGGCAGTTACGGGAACTGCCTCCGTGTTGGATGTGAAGTTCTACTGTAGGAGCACCAAATTACAGTTTTTTCTCAAAATAGATAGGAGGTTGAATGGAGCACACAGAGATGTCTGGGTATTTTTGGAGTCTGAGAACATTTAGTACCCTCAATACCGAGTCTTCTATTAAAGCTCCAGCAGGCAGGTAAATGGGAGGTGACCTGGAGAAGGCACTTCCAAGCCTCATGGCACAATCACCAAGGAGACAGAGTATCAATAGGCAGGCAAATCGTTTAGTCTGTTTTGTTTTGGGGTGAGAGATTCAAAGCATTTTTAAAATGTTAGTGTGTGGGATTTACTATGGCTTGGTAGTAAACTAACGGGTAAGCAGAGTTTTTTCTTTTTTTAAACAAAATTTATAAAGTTAATGGCTTTGGGTGTCTCTATATGAAGGGCTGCTTTTTAACAAGCCACAAACCACATATGTGAGCTACCATTTAGGTCCTCAGCAGAAACACCTACACAGGGGCACGTATATGTGTGCATACCCCCCCTTAGATACTACCTACATGCACCAATGTGTTAGCAGTAAGGCTTGGAAACAGGGTTTTCTGTGATTTTTTTTTTTTTACCTTGAGCATTTAGTGTGTGTGACACTCCAAGTCCTAACAAGAGATGTATTCTGTTTATTTTCTTAAATGGATGCTAATAAAATCCATTTACCTCTCTCCTCCTTCCCTCATCCCTGCAAATTATATTAAAGGTTTATATATGTATATGACTTATTTCATCAAAATTAATTTCAAATTAGGTATTAAATGCCATTCCTTAATGCCTTCCAATGTCACAGAATCATGATAGGAGGGATCTATCTAATGGAAAAATAACTGTAAGGGCCAGTAAAAGGAAACAATTTGGTAAAATCCTTATCACAGTGCCTGGCATATATTAACTGCTCAATAAATTGTAGCTACTACCATCATCACCTCCAGCCATATCTCTGGATTGATTGTTACATTTATTCTGGACTAAGCTTTAATTGAAAAAGAACTTTGGAAGAAGTATCTTTTATCAGAGATTTACTACGAAAAGCAGTGTCAATGGCCAGAGGGCCATTACTGATTAATGCTGTTTCCTAGGCCTTCAGTTAAATTCAAAGCTAACAAATATATTCACAGTGCAACAGCCACATCATCATATCTTGTATAATTTCACTTGGAAGGCCATGTCATTTTAGTTCCATTTTCAAATAACTTTCATATCAAATAATCAAAACTTGAGATTTGGGCTAAATAAAAATAGACTCCACTTAATTGAAACCATGAAGTAAATAAACCAGTCTCCCTAAAGAACTGAAAATTCCATTATTTAAAATTAAGCCTGTAAAAAGCCTTTATGTAAAAGAAAAGCCTGGCTGTTCCTGGATCCATTCTGTCACCATTCCTCTTTTTCTTCCTTTTTTTAAACCATTCTTCCTTTTTTTTTCCATTTTGAGAGATAGTTATGATTCTGTTATTGACATGCATGGGATTTTGGTCATCTGAACAAAAATTTATTGCAGATAAAGGTAATGCTTCCTTTCTGGAATTTTTTTTTTTTTTTTTTTTTTTTTTTTTTTTTTAGTGAGATGAGGAGAAAGGATAGTGGAAAGAGGGGAAGGGGAAAGGGAACCAATGAAAGAATGAAAAACAAATCACTTGCCTCTGGACTCCACATGGAGGAGCTGTCAGTGGCATAGGAATCTTCAAATCCCCGGCTATTAAAAGCTGTCTCCATCTCCAAGCTGCCCTCTGTGGATTGGCGCCTGAGGCTTTGGACCACACTGGACTCTTGGTGAGATGTGCCATGGTGTTTGGCATCCCCCCTCTCACATGGGGACTGTGAGTGAGCAGGGATGTGGTCATCTTCACCATAGGAGAGATTCTCAGAATAACGCCGTTGGCTGGCTCCATCCAAATCTAAATTTGCAATAAGAAAACTGTTTCAAATGCATTATTTTTAATACCTTTTTACCTAGAGAAATTGAGTAATTGCAGTCACAACAATCAAGATTGCGAAAACAGAACCCATACCAATAATACCTGCAGAAACATAATTCTATCCATACAGTGAAGAAACTTGATCCATAAAATGAAAAAGAACATTATCTCATTATGGGGGGTATCAGAAGGTTTAATACTTTTTAAATATGAGTGTAGAGAATGTATATTTATGTCAAAAGGATAAAATAGACACAGCATTTTGCTGGAGCTAATGACCACAAGACTTCTGCAATGGATCTAGAAAGCAAAAAGAGTCATCTAATATGAAGATCATATGGTCTCCCAACCTTACCATGCTTCCTTTTCTCTGCAGTGTTTACTATATTCCCCTCTGCTCAAAAAGCTTCGGTGACCCTGCCGAGTAAAAAGTTCTCTCCTTGATTCATGGTCTTGGATTGATATGATCTGAGTTTAAATCTTGTCTCTGCCATAAGAATTTGGACAATATTCAAATTCTCTGAATCTTTGCTTCTTTATCTAAAAAATGATAAAAGCTATCAAAAGATCACTGTGAGGATCACTGTGGACACATGAAATAATATTCACCTGGCAGCCAGCAGGCCTTCCATAAATACTAGCCTTGCTTACCTGCCTGGCCCGAACTGGCCTCATCCAGCCCATCCAACCCCATTTTCCACTGCTTCCCAAGCGACCATGCCTCATTCCTCTGGTCTCACCCGTTTGTGAAAATGCTAGCTGTGTATTTCTGCTCACAGTGCCCCTCAAACCCTCCCTGTGTCTGTCCTCCCTCCCCATACAAAGCGCCAACAACTCCTGAGCCTTCCCTGCCTCCTTCAGTCTCCACACTTTTCTCTCTCAGCACTCCTCACCCCAATTCATCCCGTTTCGTCTTCCTACATGTCAAGGTGGTCCTCAGATGGTCAGGAAAAGCTGGCAGGATCTTCTTAAGAAATAGCTGCCCCCACTATTTGCCTCCCACGTCCAAAGAGAAATTGAAGATCTCTTATCTCTTTGGCCTCTTTTCTCCTCCAGCAGACCCCATCCCAGGATGAAAGAAAATTAGAGATTTAGACAGGACAAGGGAGTGGGTTGGCAAAGTCTATGTCATAAAGCTCTTACATATACATCGTATGGTAGCAATTGTGTTCCCTCGTTAGCCTGATACCTCAGCTATTAATAGAATGTAAGCTCCTGGATGGTACTAAGCCACATACATCTACTGCATAGTCTTTATCTGCCAGCGGGTTATCACTAACCCTTCAGAGAACTTAAAAGTCTAGGTAGGTAATAAACATTGAAAGCAGCCAGGTATGCGGCAATATGAGTGTTGGTGACAGGGATTCACCAGGGTATATGACCCATGTATAGTAAGCATTCAAACTTCAAAAACATGTTATCAACCAGACCATATAAAAACATCTTCAGGCAGATCCTCGGGGCAGAACTTCAGACTCCTGATTTGGGGTTTTGTAAAATCACAGCAGGCCATTGAGAAAGTTCCCTATCTTCTTTGTTATCCTAAATTATTCAGTTCAGACCCCTTAGACACACTTTTATAGGACATCACAACATTTTTACATCCAGACTTTTGGTTATTTGGCAAACATACTAAAAACAGGCCACACAAAATGACAGAACAAGGAAAAATCCACATGCAAAAACCTACAACATAAAGCAGGATTGTCTTCTAAGTCTCTAATTAGCACACCCATTCCTCACATATATGAACAGTAAAATGTCCTATTAAACAGTGGGTCATCCATCAACATGTGTAGAACCCAGCAGGATTTCAGCACAAAATTTTACTTTACTAAGAAATTACCCCCATAAAATTGTCTCATGACTTTAACTCCTACGGTGATAATACCAAGATCAGTAATAAGAGAATTTTCAAAAGCTACATTAAGCCTTGAAAAGCTATTCATAACTGAAAAACATAAGAATGATATTAACGTAACAAACCATTTTCCATGACAGACAAGCAAGGAATGAATTAGCGAAGCAAATCTGGGGTACAAGTCAAGTCGCGAGGAGGAGGAAAGGGAAAGGTGATTCACCTTTCCATAAAGCAGTCTTCCCGTGCCTTTAAATTAAAGAAGATCATGTCACCTTCAACACACGCACAAAAGTAATTGCCTGTTGTCAGAGAAATGTATCCTGGCTTCTTAGAAATTATAGGCCATAACTATGTCACATCAACCAAATTTATTTTAACAGAGAAATTCTTCCACTTGCTTAGTCCATACCCCACTTTGATAGAATAAAACCCCATTATTCAAATACATTTTTCATACTCCCAAACCTCTTTCCCTGATCGCCACCCAAATACAAAGACTTCTGCTTACCATCTGTGACGGCAAGTTTTATGTGTCAACTTGGTTAGTCTATAGGCGCCAATTATTCAATCAAACACTAAATCTAGGTATTGCTGTGAAGGTATTTTATAGATGTGATTAAAGCCTATAATCACTTGACTTTAAGCAAAGGAGATTATCCTACATAAGCAGTCAGCTGAAAGACCTTAAGAGAACTGAGGTTCCCCTGGAGAAGACGTTTAACCTAAGAACTACAGCTTCAGCTCATGCCTAGAGTTTCCCCCTACCTTTCTGCAACCTGTTCTGCAAATATGGGGGCTGTGTATTTCTGTTACCTAGCCAGCCACCACCTTCATATAAACCAGTTCTTTGCAATGAATCTCTTGGGGTACACACACACACACACACACACACACACACACACACACCCCTGCATGTGCATGTGTTTGTATGTACATGTACATTCTGTACGTATATGTATGCATATAATCCTGCTGGTTCTAGTTCTCCAATTGAACCATGACGGATATACCATCTCAAACAAAACTAAGTACACATTCTGGAGACAATTGATCTGGTTTTGAGGACACCAGGGTAATAATATCTAGCTTGTAGGAAACATCCTCAGAATAACTATTCCATAAGCAAAAATAAGGTTACTGCTAGAAAAAGAAAAAAAAAAAGCCCCAGGAAATGGACTAATATTCTGCAACTAACCTTTCATGCCTAAAGACCTTGCATACAGGCCTCCAATCCAGACCACTTAGACCAAAAACCCTCTTTAACATTATCAGGAATCCAGTGACAGAGTGCAATAACATTAAATCAGATACACAGGACAAAAGAGAACTTGCCTGGAATATGGTTCCAAATAGCCTCACCACAGAATCTAGAATGAAGGATTTCACTTAAGATGAAATATGAGACAACCTACCAATAGCTCATTCATGTTTCAGATTTTACTTGGATTTGGCCCTTTAATTTCACTGTCCAACACTTTTGAATGCATTATTAAAGTGGAAGAACTGTTTCTACAACTACATTTGGTCTTACAAAACAAGGTTTACAGTGGAATAAAACAGCTAAATAGAGAACAGGCATACCAAAAAATTCCTCTCTGGGCTGCATGCTTAATCTTTTCATGATTCTTTACCACTGAAAAACATCCACTGATATAAAGATGAACAAAAAAAAATCAAGCAATAAAAAATATGTTAACATTTCCATGGCATCTGGTAACCTAAAATTTGGCATGTGGCTATTTCTATGAAAATCCTGCTGATTTTCTTCAAAATCTACAGGTACTTCATTCAATGTAGTAGATTTTTTTTCCTCTTTAACCTTTTCTATCACCATCTGTCTAAAATTCAGAATTACCAGTTAGGACAAGAGATAATTTGTTGCTCATTCCAGGAAGGATAAGGGTTAGAATGGTTGTCAGAACTCTCAGAATATCAGCCATTTGTGTAAATCAGAAGCCAGACACTTGGGCTTTGGGGAAATGGGGCCATTAGCTTTAGGATTAAACAAGCTGTTCTCAGGGAATCAACTGCTATTAACTTTCATTAGCTAACATTTGCCCTCTCAATGGAGAGAAAGGAATGCTGTGATGTAACATCAGAGAAAGAGAAAAGTCAAGAGAGGGGGTGGGGAAACGACAGTGTCTGCGGCCACTGATGTTGTGGTTCGGTTATATAAGGCCTTTATTTATTAATTTACCTTGAGCTAAAAAGAATGGCAATAAAATACATTATGTTGGTTTATGCCAATAAGTCAGACAACATGACAGATAACAAGTTATTCCTGCTGAAAATTAGGGGTCTTTTTGTTCATTCCATCTCTTTAATTCTTTATTCTGTCTGCATGTCCTGTGCTCATCCTCAAATCAAAATGTCTCCTCTTTTATCTTCTCTCAATTTCTGCACCCTCCTTTTTGTCTGTCTGGGTTTGAAAACATGGAACATCTACAGCTATGCCCTCATTTGACTGACCACCTTCCCAAAAGGAAAGCAGGAAAGGTTAGAGAGCTCAGGTAACTGAGATCAGGTCATGAAGGTGGATGGCAGAGCATTTTCTCTTGCTTTTTTACCAAATACACGTCACAGACCCTTCCCTGTTACAATGGCTGTGTCTATTCAGGGCTCTGGGCATAAAGGAGTCAGACAGATACTCTGACCTTTGCTTGGGAAACCACAAAGAACTAGTGTACTGTTCTGTTTGCATCCTCTCTCCAGGTTACTTTGGGTCTATGTTAGAGAGGGGAGGAGGACCTGTAACAAGGTCTGCCCACCATCCCAAGCTGGCCACCCTACCTTTGAGTATCCCCTCCCCTTTGTGAAATGTAAATTTAGGAAGATAATGCTGGAGAATGACATAAGACTTTGTGCTTACCCAGTAATTTTCATGCAGGTGGGGTGTGTAAGAAACTACAGGGACTGAGGGTAAGGATACAGGGGCATGTGCTGTTTGAAAAAGGTTATTTAATATTATTACACTACTTTTTTTTATTTGAAAGATAAAAATACCCATTGCTTTCATAATGCAAACTAATTAGAAGAAAGGCTTCAAAATATCTTCTGGAGTTATATAGATATATGGAAAACTTATTTTATGATTCTAAATGGGAGAAATGGCACAGACTCTCAACGTCAGTGGACAGGTACATGAAATTTTTGTGTTTATCAAAAGGGAACAAGATTTGCTAAGCTCAATAAATACTATTCTAAATTTAGGAAGAAGTGGCCGATAAGAAAGAAAGGGGTCCCACAACCCAGTATCGAGACCCACCCAGTTCTGATCCATTCCTTCTCTCAACCCTCCTGCATGGCAGTCCCCTTGGGAGGTTTAAAGCAGCCCCTTTGCTCCATGTGCTGCATCCTGTCTCATTTTCTTTTCCTTTCCAGACTCTCAGATGCAGAGTGCGGAGGCTGAATAACTCGGATGTGCTCTTACCATTGGCCACCCCTGGTCTAAAGAAAGGGTGTCAGGCAAAGAATACCTTCGCAGGCAGATACTTCTGTGCCATCTTCTCCGTGTGTCAACAACAAACGGCTGAATTTTGGTTTCTGCTCCAATCCTGTCTGCTTTCCTTTCTCAGATGTCACTGAACGGAAACTCTGGGACCGGGACACGGAAATCTCAAATTGTTTGATCACCTCCTCGTCACTGTCGGAAGATGTGGACAGCTCTTCGTCATCCCCAAAGCTGTTGACTGGGAGTAAACAAGAGCCATGAGTGTCCTGTGTGGCCTATGTGCTCGAATACAGAGATAGACTCTCCGGGAAAACAGAAGAGAAGAGCATGGACAATAAGCTTGAACAAAGGCACGCTCAAACTGGATAGAAAAAAATGTAAAACACTTCTGCAACACAAATTTGAATCCAAAGAAAAGAATGCTCCTGAAGGCAATCAGAAATACGGTATAAAGCTAGAACCCAACGGAAATCATTGGGACACCCATAGTCAGCATAATGAACTCTCATGTTGAGCCAGGCAGCCCTGCTAATTTGTTATGTTGCTTAAATGTGTTCATAACTGGAAACAGAATGTGTATCAGCACATTTGCCTTATATGCAGTTCTAGTCAACGACCATGGGATGTATGCTCTTCATCTCATCACATTTATTAAAACACACATAGCCAATCCCTACTTCAGAGAAGGAGTATCTACAACACGATTTTCCAAAAGCTTTCCAGTTTTGAAGAGAGTCCACCCGGTGCAGTGGCTCATGCCTGTAATCCCAGCACGTTGGGAGGCCAAAGTGGGCAGATCACTTGAGGTCAGGGGTTCGAGACCAGCCTGGCCAACATGGTGAAACCCTGTCTCTACAAAAAAATACAAAAATTAGCCAAGTTTGGTGTCAGGTGCCTATAATCCTGGCTACTCGGGAGGCTGAAGCAGGAGAATCACTTCAACCCAGGAAGCAGAGGTTGCAGTGAGCTGAGATTGCGCCACTGAACTCCAGTCTCGGTGACAGAGTGAGACTCCGTCTCAAAAAAAAAAAAAAAAAAAAAAAGAAAAGAAAAGAAAAAAGACTCATTGTGTGTGTTTTAACCCATTGAGAAATTTTCTCAATCTTTCTCAGCATCAACAATCCAACCTTAGAATTATTGATTTTTAAAAATAAGTTGTATATATTTGAGGTTTACAACATGATGGTATGGGATACATACAGATAGTAAAATGGTTCCTATAGTGAAACAAATTAACATATCTATCACCTCGCATAGTTACTTTTTTGTGTAACAAGAGCAGCTGAAATCTACTTATTCAACAAAAGTCCCTAATGACATACAGTTTCATTCACTATAATCCACATCTTGTAGGTTAGATCTGTAGACTTGTTCATCCTGCATATCCATTTTGTATACTTTGACATGCATCCCTATTCCTGCCCCCTGCCCCTTGGTAACTGTTTTATTCTGTTTCTGTATATTTGAACTTTTTTTTGTTAGATTCCACATATAAGTGAAATGATGCACTATATCTCTTTCTGTGTCTGGTTTACTTCATTTAGCAGAATGTCCTCCAGTTCCATCCATGTTAGGGCAAACGACAGATCTCGTTTTTTAAATTTTCTTTTCATTGTCAATATAAAAATCTCCTTCCTTTCTAAGGCATATTTATGTACCACAATTTCTTCATCCATTCGCCCATTGACGGACACTCAGGTTGTTTCCTTATCTTCGCTACTGTGAATAATACTGCAGTGAGCATGGGACTGCAGATATCTTTACGAGGTAGTGATTTCAGCTCCTGAGGTATATACCCAGAAGATGGACTTCTTGATCATATAGCAGTATGTTGTTAATTTTTTTTCTTTTTTCTTTTCTTTGAGACAGAGTCCCACTCTGTCACCCAGGATGGAGTGCAGTGGCGCGATCTCAGCTCACTGCAACCTCTGCCTCCTAGGTTCAAGCAATTCTCGTGCCTCAGCCACCACAGTAGCTGAGATTACAGGCATGCACCACCATACTCAGGTTTTTTTGTTTGTTTGTTTGTTTGTTTGTTTAAGTAGAGACAGGGTTTCACCATGTTGGCCAGGGCCTCCCAAAGTGTTGGGATGACAGGCGTGAGCCACCATGCCCAGCCTATTGTTAATTTATTTAGGAGCCTCTATAGTGTTTTCCATAACAACTGCAACCATGTACATTCCTATCAACAGTGTGCTAGAGTTCCCTTTTCTCCATACCCTCACCAACACACGTTGTCTTTTATCTTTTTGATAACAGCCCTTCTAATGAAATACCCTTTGAATTATTCATACAGTTTTCCCACACCTTGATATACCAGCACACGGGCCTTCTTTCAGTTTCTCCAACAGGCCGGGATTGTTCTTGCTGTTGAGCTCTTTGACTTTGTTGTTCCTTCTGCCTCCCCCAGGTGTTTACATGTCTGGCTCCTTCACATCGCAGGTCTCAGCTTGACTGGCACTTCATCCTACAGTCCTCCCTGAACATCCTCCCTTAAGTAGTTGTCTTCATAGCACTAAGCTTTAGTTCTCTGTTCTCCCCTATAACTTCCATGAAAATAAGAATATTTCCTATTTTGTTAACTGATGTCTCTCAATATGTAAAACAATGCCTGCTGCATAGTAAGTAGTTCATAAACACTTGTTAAATATTGAATGACTTGGTGAATACCCAGAGTTCTCCTAAGCCTGAGTGTATATCCATGCACTCACACATACACACACACACACGGTTCCCCGTGCTTAGAATACTCTTCTCCAGCCCCTATATACACTAGTCAGGAATCTAACTCATCACTGAGGTCTCAGCTTAGACATCACTTCTTCCAGAAAGTCCTTCCCTGACCTCTTACATCAGGTTAAGAGCTCCCTGCATGTGCTGTAAAACAATTTTCTGTTCTCTCTTGTCAGTGCTCCCTCCCATGCCATGGCAGCATTACCTATCTAACTGCAAATTGCCCCACCTAATCTGCATATATACCATGAGGGTGAGGAGCACATCAGACTGCCCACCTTTGCATCCAGGCCCTATCTCCAAGCCAGGCACACAGCAGACGACTCTGTAAATATTTGCTGAATGTGAATTGGAAACCACAAATAATGGGGAATAATTTTTAATCATTTTATATCCCAAAGTCACATAGTGATTCCAGAGAAGAATATGGTTGTTCATTCACAGATGGGTCCTGAAGATCACTTCTGAATCAGAAGCCAGGAAGGAATAAAAAGCCATATTTCAAGTGAGAGAAAATACTTTTAAACACCAGCCTGGTCAAAACATGTATTCTCTGGCTTGTCTGAGAGCTGACATTCCTGGGGTTCTCTGGAAGACTAGCAATAATAACACACTTACTGAGTGCTCATTATGCGTCAGGCACTGTCATAAGTGCCTTACACATAAAACCTTTATGATTATTTCCATTTTTCCAAGTAAGAAAATTGAGGCAGAGAGAAGTACACAGCTGGCAGAAGATCACATTGCCAATTAAGAGCAGAACCAAGATCTGATTTAAAGCAGCCAGTCTCCAGCACCCACATTTCTAATCAGAGTGCTGGAGAATCAGAGAGAGGCGGTGGAAAGAACTCTCACTCTGTGTACTCACGTTAACTAGTGGAGCTCCTGTGGCCAAGTCTCTTAACCTCTCTTATGCCTTGTTTTTGGATCATGTTAAAGGTCTGGATCATCTCCCAGGTCTTTTCTAGCTCTAAAATTCTCCAGCTCCAAACTTCCCCAACACGCATCAACATTTGATTTGTTTTTTACTGATCTTCTCTTTCATGGAGCAGCTTCTCCAGGAACGTAAGAGTACATCTTTGTCATCTCACTTATTCTACTGGCTGCATCTAACACCACAGCAGGACCTGAAAACCTAAGTGTCAGAAGAGACTAGATTTCCCAGCATTACTCCAATAAGCTATGCAAATACCATCCCATCAGAAAACCACCATAATGACCAGTCTCTTCATGCCTCCATGTGCTGGGCATAGCACTCTAGGATGGGATGGACCATTGCAAATAGGTGAGATCCAGGGACAACAGGAACAAAATCAAACTACTTCCACCTTTAGAGTACAGGACCAGCTAAGCACCTGGGGAGATACATGCATGTGAGGGGTGTCTGGATTAGACAACAATTGGAGTGTTTTCCAACTCTGAGATTCCATTCTAATTTATATTTTTAGGCCAATTTTTAAAATTTAAGTAGTCATAAGTCATCCATTTCAAATGAGTTAGTCAATGCATGGATATCTTTCCATCTATAAAATAATTGCAACTAATTTATTAGCATTTGGTTCTTGATTTTTTTTTAGTGAGGCATTGATCATCCACAGAGCAAAAATTCTCCTTGCCTGATATACAATCATACAGTACTTATAACATTTCCCATATACTAAACATATAAACCAGCTACCTTCTTGGGAATTTGCATCTACCCATTCCATGAAGTAGGAATTATATTATGATTATATAGATAGAAACGAAAGGCAGAGAAAAGTTAAGTAACTTGTCATAAGGCAACAAATTTAAGAAATTACCAAAGTTGGGACTTAGGTGTAGCATCTATGTCCCTAACCACTGTGCATATCATCAGATTTCATTGCATTAGGAAGCTAGAGCCCTATCTAGCTTACTCCTCATAGCAAGGTTCAGGGAGCTCTCCTGCTTCCACCCTGACACCTGTCAAGAGTGCTTTCTTTGTGATGGATAAAGGAAGAGCAGAGCAGTGAAAAGGGCAGTAGTAGTGTAGATGTGAGTGCATACAGGCTTATTGCTCCTTGTGGGATTATAAATACATCTGCACGTGCTATTCTAAGCCTCACTCCCCAAGGACCTCAGGGAATTCTCAGTCTAAAGATGAAACCTGCGATCTCTTGCAGAGATCTTGCAAAGGCCACTGAGCAGCAATAGAAGTCAATAGTGGCACTGTTACAGTAATAAAAGCAATCCTTTATGCAGCATTTATCACATGCCAGGCATTGTTCTACTACTCGACATACATTAACTTATTTACCCCTCACAATAACCTAAGGAAGTAGGTACTATTATTATCCCCAGGCTATGAATGAAGAAACTAAGGCACAATGAGGTTAATAACTTGCCACAGTCATAACAGTTTAAAAGCAGTGGGCCAAGATTCAAACCCAAGCTGTCTTGCTCCGAAGTCCATGTTATTAATAGTCCACTATGCTCCCTCTACCATCTGTTTCCCCATGGAAAAAACTTCTTAAATTCTGGACA